GAAAAAATGATACAAATGGGTATAACATGCCCAAGGTTGTAATAAAGATAGTTGTTCATTATTTTCGTCATATTGTCAAATTTGCTTTGTATTCCGACATAGAAAAATAAAAATTTGGTTTTGGATTGGTAGCGGGGGGGATTTTCGGCAGGGGGAAACCACCTGTACTTTTTGATGATATATTATGTTCTTTAATAGTGTTTTTAGAACTTTTTGATTGCTAAAAAGTTCAAAAAATAGTTGAAAAATTTTGAAAATTGGAAAATTGTGACCTGTTTCGACATTTTTCATACATTTTTGACCAAAAAGTAAAAAAAACGTTGCAAATGTGCCATTATTTTTACATTGTTTTTTTATATCTACAAAAACTAACAAATTGTTTATCATTTGTTATAGGGCCGCAGAGAATCATATAGCAAAATTTTATTCCACCCGCTAACAGTCCATAACCAAAACTTTTTCGCCTCTGGAATCGAAACACACCTGGAATTGCAAAATCTTGTCGGCCGAGAGCTCGTGGGTGCCGTCGGGGCCGAAGACGTACTTCTCGGGTGCATAATCCGGCTGGAGATGGCGATGGTGTGAAGAGATGCCGGTCGTCATTTCTCGGTGGCCACTTGGAGGCAGCACATAGGTCTGAAACAGCGTTAACGAAAAAACAATATATAAAAAAGCGTAAAGAGAACTTCAAAAGTGATCAATTTACCTCGTTCAAACGGCCGGTTGGTCTTGCGACGACGAAGGTTGCCCAGGAAAGCCAGAAAACGCCCAAATGAAGTAGCGCGAAGGACATTCCTCTCCAAGCCTGGAAAGCAATCTTTCAAAACTTGCGAATTTCCAAGAGCCTCTCGGCATTTTCCATAAAAAACATCGACCAGAAGCGGGGTTGGTTGAATATTGCTCTTGGATTCGGGGGAGTGAGGGGGCAATCTTTTGCCTGGCTGTCTTTGCTGGCCTAGCGATCAAACATAAAGTGTTTTAAAATTGTTGTTAGTCGTTATAACTTAATTTAAAGTAGACAAACTTTCAAGGAAAGTTAGAAAAGCGTTCGAAAAAGTCGAAAATTTGGCCATTTCGGGCAAAAACAACATTTTTCGGACTAAAATTAACTTTTTGATGAAAATTTGTAAAATTTTTATGCTTGGATAGCTCAAAACGATGCGGTAACGCATCCGCTGTTTGTAGAAAATTTAGGATCGGCCGAAAAAAAAGTTTATTCGAAAATCTCCTGAGCATGATCGCGAGCTAAGCCTGGAATTCCAAAACACTGTAACAAGGAATCACACGGTCAGAAAGATCCGCGAAGGTCGAGGGGTTTTATCCGATGCTCGACTAATTCTTTATCAACGCATATAACAAATTACAAAATTTGTCTATTAGAGTTTCAATTGGAAGAGCGGAAGTGGAGGCTGGAAGATTGCATTCCACCACGGCTTCAGCTAGGCGGAAGACGCCAGTGTCCCTGAAATACCGAAAATCAAATTATATCCGTGAAATTTTTTGCTTCATATCTTCCGCACTCCGCCCCCCCCCTCCCGCTAAGGCACTAGTTGCACGCAAATCAACTAAAATTTTTCCTAGTTAATTTAAAGTTGTTTGCCCTAAATTCCCAAAAAAACTGCTAGCCTGCCCTCCAATACGGGCCTAGATTCCCAAATGGCCTCTGCTAGCTTGCCCTCCGAAAATAAATGATTTTGGCCAAATTAAAGGCATTAAATTTACAAAAATAGGCCTAGATTCCACAAAAATCCTCTGCTAGCCTGCCCTCCAATCCCTAAGGATCTTTGATAGCTTACCCCATTCCCGTTACCATTCCCAAAAATCTCCGCAAGCCCGCCTTCCTAAAGAGACGATTTTCAAGGTAATTAAATTAATTAAATGTATAAAAATTCCTGTAAAAACGGGCCTTGATTCTACAAATAGCCTCTGCAAGTTTGCCCGCCATTCCCAAAGAATCTCTGCTAGCATTTTCTCTTGTTTCATTCATTCTCACCTCCTCGAAGGTGATGCCGGGTCCATCTTGATATTTCTTGCGTACCCTCTTCAACATTCCCTTCATCTTCCTCTCATCAATATTTGCATGGAGGAGGAGAAGCTGCGCAAAGCTCATCTCCGAAATTATCTAAACAAAAAATCAATAAAATCAATTAAAAATAATGCACCACATCCTCTCCATCGAGACAATCGCGACGCTCGAATTCCATCTTCAGGATGTCGTAAATTGCAGATCCGCTCGAAATTCCGCAAGAAATCCCTGCTTGCTGCCCCAGTTACGCGTCCCCAAAAGCTAGCAAACATCATTTGCGGAAACCCAAGGGTCTCTAATTCTATTTTCCAAAAAATCATGAAAATTCCGTCGCTATCACCGGTGGTTGCCCCTACTTTTCCGTCACGATCCCTGCTAGTTGCCCCCACTCCCGTAGGAACCTAGCCGACACCACTCTTGGAACACACAAAACCACAAATGACACGTTTTAGACATGCTTGGACCGCTATCCAAAACACCTCTGCAAAATTTCGGGGGTTTAGCCAAGGACTTTGCTGGTTTGCCCTCTAAATTCCCTCCAGATCCCACCGCGCCTCGATATGCAACTCACCCCCCATTGCCTCTGCACGACGCGTTGCGTGCCGTCGCAAAATCCATAGCCACGCCTAGAAATCCCGATAAATTATTTAATTTCCGAATTTACCGCTCAAAATCGACGACCATAAAGACGAGACCGCCGATGATGATCACGGCACCGATTTTGTTCATCCTTCTGCAAGCAAGAAATCGTGAAAATTCGAATATAACTTACCTCAACTGCGGCCAAAGATATTCGCGAGCGTGTGGGTAGATGGGCGTCGAAAAATCGGAGTAGCCATTGCCGCTGCGCCGATCGCTGTCGTGCCGTACGTGGCTTCTGACGCCGCGAAAAGTTACATCGCTAAATCGTTGGGTACTCAAATATTGGCCGGGTGGGGTGGGGTGGGGTGGGTGGGGGGTGGGTGGGGGGGAGAGTTGAACCGGAATTCTTTGCTATTCATCCTTGTTGAACACCTTTCTTGGTTTTTCAAGGTTCATCGCCACCTGCCTGGTCTTCTGGAGCGTCTTCTAGCAAGACAAGGCTCGCATTGGTGCCCTGCTCTAAAATTTTCCCGTTTTTAAGACAAGGAAGGTTCTTTATACCGGGCTCGAGTTGTTTGACCTCGGTGTTTGTGCGTGGCTTGACGACGCCCTCGGCAATTTCGTCGAATGCTTGTACCACTCTAAAAATCCCGATAAATTATCTAATTTCCGAATTTACCGCTCAAAATCGACGACCATAAAGATGAGACTGCCGATAATGAACACCGCCCCGATTTTGTTCATCTTTCTGCAAAAAAAAAAGAAATTACCGGTTCTTATCTGTTAACGGGGGAAGGCAAAATTTCACAGTAATTCACTACGGTCTTATAACAAAAATAAGACATTTTCTAAAACTGTACACAGTTTTTGGATATAAAAATCTCGTAAAGATGCCAAATGTTGACTTTTTGGTCAAAAATGAATGGAAAATGACCCAAAAAGTCAGAATCCTTAGTTTTTCTAAAATCTGCTCCCCCGTTAACAGAAAACGAACCAGCCCAGAAATGACGGTAAATTTGAAGCTCACTCCCTCACCTCAACGGCGGCTAAATATATTCGCGCCCGTGCGGGTAGATGGTCGTCGAAAAATCGGAGTAGCCCTTGCCGCTGCGCCGATCGCTGTAGTGCCATATGTCCTTTTTCACGGCCTAAAAAGTTAATTTTTTTTCAGAATTGCTGCTAAATTCCGCAAATAATTTTTGCCAGCTCGCCCTCCTCGCGCTAGGCAAATGAGCCTACTTCCTAAAGAACCATTGCTCGCTTCCCTGGGCAAAATTTAGCAGCTGAAACCACGGAAAAGTAATTCTTGTAGGTTTTACGTCAAAATTCCTAAATTTTCGCTGATATTGCTTTCTACCACGAAAAGCCTGTTATCGCTTCAATTTTAAAAGTAGAAGCAACGAAATTCCTAAAAATCACTGCTCGCTTGCCCCGGTCCCCGTGATCCAGCAACTAAAACAACTAAAAATGCAACTTTTTCTACAGATTTTTGCCCCAAATTTGAGCAAGAAGCACCAAAATTCCTCAAAAATAGCTGCTCGCTGATGCTCAGCTGAAAAAGGTCATTTTTACCTATAAGCTACCTAGAAAACGCCGAAAACACACCGGTTTCCCGCGCACGCCGCCCAGCGCCGTGTAGGCCTTCAGCGGATCCGGGGCGCGGGTCGCGGAAACGGTCGGTTGTCCGGTGGCTGCGTGCCGGTGCATCTAACAATAAAAAGAGTAAAACTAACAACGACACACCGCCTACCTGTCTACACAATAAAACTGCGGTTGGCGTAGAAGGCGTGCGCCCGGGCCGCGCAACATTTGAGCCTGAAACGGTGGCTTTACTTCGTTTTTCGAACCAAAAAAACGAGGGAAATGCCCGAAAACACCGTTTTAATGTTTTCTGAGTATAAAGTATCGCAAACCGGCAACATTACGGTAAGTTTTAGACCAGGGAATACTTCAAAACCCATAAAAACCGCGAAAAAGAGGCTTTATTGGTTTTCCGAGCCAAAAAAACCTGGGGAAATTCCCGGAAAACACCTTTTCTATGCGTTTGTGTTTAAATTTTCAAAAAAACCCACAGCGTTACGGTGGATTTTAGGCCAAGAATATATTCTTTTAAGTGTTGAAAACCGATAAAAACTTACAAAACAACAGGCCTTGACAACTGGCCGGGCCGGGCCGGGCCGAGGCGAAGCCGGGCCCAGCCGGCCCATGCCCGTGAGGCCCGGTCAGACATAAGGTCGGAGGGGGTGGTCAAAAAAAAATTTTCCCCAAGACCCCAAAATTTCCAATTTAAGTATATTAAAAACTAATAACTATCAACTATTATTATTTTCTAACTATTAATAAACATAAAAACATTAGAAACCGTATTTTCAAAATACAAATATGCCGGATCCGGCCAATGGTAAAGCTCAGATGACCATTATTGACCGTTTTGTAGATGCATTGTATAGTTTTTTGAGGAAATACCGAAAGATGGTGTTCAAAGATCCTTTGAATAAACGAACTCCGGTTAGAAATCATACAAGAAGTTTCTTCTAGTCCACTCAGGCAAAAAAAAATCAGGAATCCCGGCTCAAGGAATCTAGCCTGTGACTCCCGGAGCAAAAACAAAATTGAAAAACAGGATGATAAGCCAAAAACCTAACATAAGAACCTAAAAAGTTGGAAAAGTTTGAAAAAATTTCGAAAAATGCAAAAAATTACGATTTATGAAAAATTGGCCTAAAAATTATGAATCGACCCGGATCCGGCCCGAATCTCGAAATCCAGACTCGAGCCCGGCCCGGCCCGGCCCGTTGTCAAGGCCTGCAAAAATATAGAAAAACGTCATTTGCTCAGTGTTTTTTCCTAAAAAACCCAGGAAACGGTCTTTTGCATGTCTTTTGAAGTTTTCATGTCTAAATTATCGAAAAACCCCAGTTATACAGACTATTTTCAGCCAAAAAAATTTCTAAGCGTTAAAACCTCATACAAAAGGCCAAAACGCGAATCATGCTTCGTCAGGACGTCTTTCTATACTTTTAATAATTTGTATCTTGATTTTCAAGCTTATTCTACTCTTCATCTCTTTCTTCTTTTCAAACTAGGGAACCGCTTAAAGTCTCGGTGGAATTTCAGAATGGGACGTAGCATATCTCATGCAGAATTTTTTGCTGCTTCCGAATCTGTTTTCAAAAACTGCAAAATTGTTCGGATTCAAAAGCTACAACGTTTTTCACCCCGTTTTAAGCAAAAATTGCCAAACTTCATGCTCGATTATTTTAATCTTCCTGATATCTACGATATATTTTTGTTATAATATAGTATTTTTGATTATAAATTATAGTTTTAGAAAGTCTGCTTGAAGCCACATCTGGTTTTTGCGAAATCTTTTGAAGCCGGTATAAAATAGGGCATTCAGGACATTCCACTACATCATAGACGGCTACTTTAAAAGCACGCAGAAAGAGTCATTCCCTTTCTATTTGGCACGCAACGTAGATAGGAAAAAAATTGGTTTTGTATGTGTGCCACTTGTCACCAGGCCTGGACGAAACGCGGGCCAGGCCCGGGCGGAGAAAAATCGGGATTTTCCGGGCCGGGCCGCGCCGGGCCGAGAATTCAAAAAAAGCCGGCCCGACATTTTTCTCTAAGTAAAAAAAATAGGTTTTTGGACGGAAATTGTGTGCTATTTTGAATATATATGGCTCGCAAATAGCCCATTTGGCATTGTTATATAACTTCAGTCAAAATTTTAAAGGGGCTCCGAAATCTGGTCCACGGCCCCCTGCTGTGATTCCTGGCAAGTAGCCAGATGCCACCGCAACGCGGCTGCGCCGCATGATCTTTTTGCCCCTGTTTCGACGCGAAAACGCTTGAATTGAAAAATTCTGATGCTTTTTTTTGAATCCTCAACGAATTTTGATCGTTCCAGACTTTTAAATTAGGAAAATTGATCAGAGAATCACCGAGATCGCGAGATTAGGTGCCTTACGAGGCATTACGACATGTAATTGCCGCGCCCTCAAAAAGTCGTTTTCGCCCCGAGAACATTTCGGTTTTACTAAATATTTGACGTTTTTTCGCAACGAAAACAGTTTTGTTGCACTCCTCGGCAGTTACTCTTTCGTTTTTTTGACCAGTAGGTTCAATCCCCGGACGCACCAATTTTGACTTCCGAGCCCCTTTAACCTTTTTTAATCCAACCCCTACCAGAAAATCGACCCCACCCATTGCCATCTTTTTGCTTTTTGGATTTTTTGAGTCATTCGGACCGGGGTTTTTCATAGATGTATAACGGTACATCGTAGTAACGTAGAAAGCATTAAAATATTCACTTAAATAGCTAATTAGACCCCCAAATGGTTAAATTTAACCTTATTATCCTAAACTCCGGCGATTTATCGCTTAAAAAATCGTAGATAATTTAGAATCTGGATTTTCTTGGCGGAAAAGCTGTTAAAAGCCCACACCAACGCTGTATGAACAGCTAAGTACCTGGTTAACCCCGGTTTTGACCTCAAAAAGTCGGGCCGGCCCGGGCCGGGCCGGGAAAAAGAGGGTTGTCGGGCCGGCCCGGGCCGGCGGCGTCCAGGCCTGCTTGTCACGAAACTTTCATCGGGTTGTGCGGCGACTATCTCGATAGGGGACGGGTAGGACGGACGGGGACGGGATGGGCGAGAGGGTGGGTGCGCCCACCCCTACCCCCACCCGAACACCAAAAAAGGTCTATTGTTCCGCAAGAACATCAGATCGTTATGATTTTTACACCAATCGAAAGCCATCGAAAAGACGAACATCTACGTGTTTTTCGATTTTCCAAAAATTATGAGGTAAACCAGCGCTGACCCCCCGCTCCGCGGGGGTTCAGCGCTGGCCTCCCGGGCGGAAAATGCGAAACGACGCGGCTCCGGTGAAAATTTTCAGCCCCCGGCTACGGTATATTTGGGGGGTTCGCGGCGGGATTGAATTCCCGGTCGGTCGGCGGTCGGACGGACATTAGAAATTATGAGGTAAATGGCTCAAAATGCCTAGTTTAGTGTTTTAGGGGAACTTTCATATTTCACGACATTTCTCCGGCGCAAGCCGAATCAATCATAAATATGTTTATGCATTATTTTTACCGCGTCCTGGACATAAAAACGTATGAAAACTTTCCAAATTTTGCTTGAAAATTTATATTTAGGTCGAAAATCGGTTTTTCGACCCAAAACGACGAAAACTTCGAAATTTGTATGCATTTTCCTAGATTTTTGGAAAGTTTTCTGCATTAGATACAGTTAGCCTTTACTAAAAACAATATAAAACAGTTTGTGTTGGATAACTAGGCCCAGTTGAACGATAAATATAGAAGAATTCGGTTCACTCCCCGATGATTTAGGATTTAACTTTTCGGGGCGTTTCTCTTAGAAACCTGCCAAAAGTGAAGATGTGTTTTCAGGCCGTCAGAATCTACGTGCGGCACTGCAGTGATTGGCACAGCGTCAAAGGCTACTCCGACTTTTCGACGACCATCTACCCACACACTCGCGAATATATTTGGCTACCGTTGAGGTGAGAGTCAGCTTCAAATTTACCGTAATTTCTCTGATTCTGTTAACGAGGGAGCAGTTTAGAGAAAAATCGAACATTCAGACTTTTTGGCCTCATTTTTCATTCATTTTGAACAAAAAGTCAATAACCTTTAAAAGTCTATCTTTTTTTGCGCTTTTTACATCTGATAACTAATTAACCTACTGCATAATGATTTATTGTTCGCTATAGCGAATTACTGGCAAAAAACCTCACCCCCGTTAATAACTAAGAACGGCGATTTCTTGCAGAAAGATGAACAAAATCGGGGCGATGTTCATCATCGGCGGTCTCGTCTTTATGGTCGTCGAATTCGAGCGGTAAATTCGGAAATTACATGGTAGATCGGGTTTTTTAGAATGGTATAAGTATCTGACGAAATTGCCGAGGGTATCGTTAAGCCGCGAAAAAATCCGGAGGCAAACAACTCGAGCTCGGTAGAAAATAACCTTCCGTTTTTAGATCAGGGCCCCGATGCGAGCCTCGTCGTGCTAGAAGATGCTCCAGACGGCCAGGCAGTTGGAGATGAACCTAGAAAGACGAAGACAAGGTGTTTTTTATCGCGAATGGTTTTAGACTGCCAAAACCTCCCGTATCTGCTGTCAGGGAAATCGGTTCAAAGTGAAAACCGTAGCTTTTCGGAATTTTACGCCGTTTTCCACCTTGTATTTCTCTCTTTTTGCGGCAAAAATTCACGTAACATCATGGAAAAATGGCTTTTTGGGGACATAATTTTCCGGGAGGACACTCTGTTATACCTACCATAAAAGTTCCGGTATTCACGTACAATTCCAAAGATTTTATCCTAGAGAGATCGCCCTTTTTTGGGCTTGGCATGTTACTATCAAAACATCGAATATAGAATTAATGTATGGAAAGACTAAAGGAATTTTTGCAGGGCAAAAATAAAAAGATCGGATTCCGCGAGGGTGATATCATCCAGTACACCGATCGGATCAGGAATTATTCGACGCCCGACAAGGTTTCCCGATATTTCGCCACGCTGAAGGTACGGGATTGGCGTATTTTTTAGTGTTTCCCGTCTTTGCTTGAGGTTCATGATCCGAGCGCAGCATCCACTACGAGGTCTACGTGACCCCAGAAGATTACGTCCGTTCCTTCACACCGGGCGTGATGCAACCACCGATTATGGCATCGATCGATTCAAGGTCTACAGGCCTGAGGTGAGTCGTGCGGGGGGGGGATGCTGGCTTGGATCATCATAGCTTATCTAAAAATGTAAACCTAATATGAATGAAACGAGTACTCGAAAGTTTTCAATTTCAGGACCTTGTGAGGTCAAAATCATCAATTGGTCACCGAGAAATGACGCCTAGGATCTCTTCCAATGATCGACACCTACAGCCCAATGCTGCTCTCGAGACGCACTTCGGCCCTCAGAAGTTCCCGGCTGACAACGTTTTGAAACTCTTTAAGGTGTGTTTCGATTCTCAGAGGCGGGAAAATTTGGGTTCTGGACTGTTAGCGGGGGGTTAGCGGGTGGAATCAAATTTTTCCCTATGATGCTCTACGGCCCTATAACAAATGATAACCCATTTGTTAGTTTGTAGATATCAAAACAATATAAAAAATAATGAAAATTTTGGAACGGTTTTGTCTTTTTGGTCAAAAATGTATGAAAAATTTAATTAAATTTTTAATTTTGGTTTTTTCTCAATGCCGGGCCGGCCCGGCTTTTTTTGAATTCTCGGCCCGGTCCGGCCCGGAAAATCCCGATTTTTCTCGGTCCGCGTTTTGTCCAGGCCTGATTTGGCCAAAATCATTTATTTTCGGAGGGCAAGCTAGCAGAGGCCATTTGGGAATCTAGGCCCGTATTGGAGGGCAGACTAGCAGAGATCCTTTCTGAATGGAGGGCAGACAAGCAGGGATGATTTCGGAATGGAGGGCCAACTCGCAGAGATACTTTGGGAATGGAGGGCAATCTAGCGGGGAATCTTTGCGGAATCAAAATCTACAAATCTAACATGAAGTGCCATTTGTTGCAGGTGGTGTCCCTGTTCGCGTTGTTGTACCACATCGAAGAGGTGGACATGGCCCTCCATTTCCATCGAATGGCCGGCGTCCCCATTGATGCAAACATGTTGCAGCACGTCGCCAGGAAGGTCGCAATTTTCTCTCTAAATTTATTCATTTTTTTTTTAATCACGATTTTTTACAAATTTTGTGCACATATTAAATTTAATGAATTTTGAGCTATTCAGTATTTTTAATTACCTTTTATCTAATTTTTCCTTTGATTATATAAAAATTTTGAGTGTTTTTCTCCTATTGATTTGACGCTTTTTCTAAAATTTTCAAAAATGGAAAAAATTTAATGATCGATTTTGTTGGTTTAAAAATTTTACTTATTTAGATTTGCTAGAATTATGGGATTATAATTTTTTATATGTTAACTATTTAATGTTAAAGAAAAATTTTATTTTTAGCCACCTATTTTAGGATGTAATTATTTAAGTTATTTAATTTTATCTTTGGATTCCAGGCGACTAACGTGGAATTGACTGAGCATGTCGCCGACGTCGTCATCACGCTTTTCGACGAGAATATGGTAGCATTTGAGACGTTTTTTTGTAGCGTAATTTCCCGATTTAGGACGGCAAGCTGTCGAATCGTGAATTCGTGGCCGTGATGCGGAGGCGGATGCGCAGAGGGCTCGAGCATCCCAGGTATTCGGGATTTTAGACGATTTTCGACTTTAACCTAACTAGGAAAAATTCTAGTTGATTTGCAGGCAACTAGTGCATTAGCGGGGGGTGTAATAGATATGAAGCAAAACGTTTCACGGACATAACTTGATTTTCGGTTTTTCAGGGACACTGGCGTGTTCCGCCTAGCTGAAGCTGTGTTGGAATGTAGTCGTCGTGCCTGGAGTAATTGCGACACTCCAACTAGTCTCGACTTTGACTTGACTACATCAGCAATTCTAATGGCGTTCTAGTAGGGTCCCCTAAAAATAACTCGTCTCCAAAGCTAACTGTAAAGTGTTTTTACTCAGGCTGGCGTTTTGGGATGGGGCCAGGGACGTAGCGTAATACCGGCCCCGGGGCCTGGCCCCCGAAATCGGCCGGGGCCCGAAAATTTCATAAGGGGAGACCCTTATGATTTTTATTTTCTCACAAATTTTGCTGCCTGCGGCGCTATTTTTTCACGTTTTTACGGCTATTTGTAGAGCTAAGTAACCTTTTTTCAAAAATTTTTGCCTGCGGCGCTGTTTTTTTCTGCAATGTTTTGAGTTTTTTGGAAGTTTTTGGGGCCCTGCCCGAAATTTTTTTCTGGCTAGGCCCCTGGATGGGACCAAGCTGGTTTTGCTCTGAGTTTTTGCTGATTCTGTATCTGGTTTCAAATTTGCCGTCGACCTTTATTTAAAGAGTTATTCGACATTTATACTAAAAAAAATTGACTAAATCTGGATTTTTTGCGTTATTTTTTTTAAGTTGTCGTCACCTCCGACGTTAAAACTGGCTCAGTAACTGTTTTAGAGGTCAAAGCACGATTTTATGCAAAATAAGGTTTTGGTGCAAAAAGCAAAAGAAAGTGTGCCGGGCGGGGTTTGAACCGCCGCCCTGTGCTTGGCAATCGAACAGCTTACCATGCACTATGGTGCCAACTGGGAAGGGGGCTTGGGAGGGTAGATAAAGGACAACGATGCCTGGGCCCATTTGGCGAGAAAAGGGCCAGCATCCGAATTTGACGTTTTTAAGCTTAATTTAGGCCCCAAATGACTCTTGAACGCGAAGTCCGCAGCAAATTTGGAAAACGGGTTCTGAATCAGCAAAAAATTCTGAGCAAAATAAGCTTGGTCCCATCCCAAAACGCCAGCCTGAGTAAAAACACTTTGCAGTAAGCTAACCAAGCCAAGCTAGCCGAAGTGTATATAGACACGCCTAAATTAGAGAAGATCAGTGCCATTTAACTCGTTATCGCGGGTCTTGGGCGTGGAATGCGGTTTTTGCATGAGGAATTTGACTTTCCGATCACTCGGGTCCTTCGCGTTTCTCCTCTCTAACGACCACACCTGCGCGTGCAACTGGCAAGAATGAGGAAATTTGTATTTTTTCGCATTATGCAAATTAGCCCTCAGGGACCCCCAAAAATCAATAAAACCGGCTATAACTTTGTAAACTTGTATTTTTACAAAATTCTGAAAACGCCATCGGAAACAGAAGGGTCGCTTCCCCCGGGTCCCGAAGAATTGGGGCATTTTATCCACGGGAAGGGCCCAAAATCGGGCCTCGAAAGTGACATCCACACACACACACACAGTTACACGCCAAAATTATATAAGGTAGGATAGGAGGATCTCTCTCTATCTCTCGCTATCTAGCCATCTCTCTCGCTCTCTCTGATATTGAAAAATTGTTGGCGGAATGGACCCGGTTAGCGTCGAGCCCCGGACGGGCCCCAAACGTGAAAAGAACAACTCTGATGGTACGCATGGTGAAAGATCGATATCTCGATGCATTTCCGGAACAACAGGGCACAATTTTATAAATGCTGAACACCGAGGCAACTGGAGGAATTGATGGGTTTCTGTCAGCGTCCAATATTTCCAGTGGTGGCGGCGATTTCTTCTTTGCAATGTTCCTTCGCTCTCCAGACTGTTCGCAAGGCCTGATTCCAAGCTGCAAACAAAACAAAGTGTCTGTAATTACTAATTAGCCCAGGAATTTTGCGCGGCCCGATAACAAAATTTTCTGCTCGGTGGTTGTCGTATTATCGTGGGGAGGGACTTTTTTCCTTAGGAATCAAGTTGTTCAATATAAATTGCGCAGGTGTTTTTAAGGTGTTGTAAGGCCTTTTTGTATTATTTCTAAACGCAAAAACTTTCTAGAATTTTATTAAAACTGCGAAAAAATATCGATTTTTGGACCGAAATCCCCAATTTCGCTTAAGAACTTGGGTAATTTTGTGTTGTAAAAATCGCTTAAATCGACGCTTATCTGATTAATTTTAGTCCGCAAAAAAATATCTTAAAGTAAAGAAGGCCTACCTAATTATTTTCACGTAATGTTTAGGTGGTCTAACTTCACGGAAACCCTGTGAAATGCGAATTAAAGTTTATTTTTGTTATAACTTGAAAACTACTGTAGCTATCGGGCTATAACTTAGGATTGTTGTTATTTATGGTCTGATACACCTCTGGTCCAAATTTGGGGCCGATTGGATGTAATACCGCGAAATGCCAGATGGGTCGTTTTTTTGGGGCACCCTGTAGTTGGTTTTACGTCCAACAACCACAAAAACTGCGGATTTATGCAGGATCTGCAATGCTAATTGCGAAGTTCCTGCTGAAAAATTGCCGGCTTTTTAGAACACCTTAAATATCGATGGAACGAGATTAAATCTTAGAAAACGAAACCCGCTTGTTTTCTCGCCTTTTCGAGAGCTTTCCATAGATAGCTAAATCATAAAAATCGGACTTGACCTCTAGAGCCCGCTAGAGGGGGGGGGGGGGTTTGTGACACCCTGTACTTTCGATTGATACAGAAATCGTAAAAATCTAAGACCCCTCCGGATCGCTAGACTGGGTCTTTTCTTGGGATGTCCTGGATTAGAAAGCTAAGGAGTTGTCCGCTTTTCAATGCGCTAACCTCTCATGTATTCCCGGCCGTTTTCTGTATGGATCCATCGTACATAGAAATCAGCGCCGAATAATGGATCACGCACTAATGGCATTGCAACGTCTCTAAAATTGGGCCAATTGCAAACCTGAATTTGGGTCACAAGGCTATTTCGATTTTGAGCCGCTAGAAGTGGCGAGAGAGAGCGAGATAGTGAGAGAGAGAGAGAAAGAGAGAGTGAGAGAGAGAAAGAGAGAGTGAGAAAGAGAGAAAGAGAGAGTGAGAAAGAGAGAAAGAGAGAGTGAGAGAGAGAGTGTGTGAGAGAGAGGAATTTAATGTAATTGATTTCGGTCCTTTACATTTGTGATTTGCATGAAAAAGTGCCACGAAAAAGAAACGTACGTTTCCTCTGTTTCCGGATCTAACTTGAAAGACTGGCTTAGCAATTCGATCAAGTGTCCCTTTCCATTGTCATATGCTTGGACTTTGTATCGTACCATTCCGAGACGGATGGAGATCCATTTTGTCTCGGCACCAACAAGGAAGCGTTCCTGCAATTTTTCGATAGCGAGAGTAAGAGCGAGAGAGAGAGAGAGCGAGAGAGAGCCAGAGAGAGAGAGAGAGAGAGAGAGAGAGAGAAACTAAGGAATAATTTGCGACGAAAAAGATATGTTACCTTCCACCGTTCGGCTCTCATATCTCCGAGAATAAATCGATCGAATTGTCTGTTCCCTCTCAACCAATCATTCCATTGTTCCTCGTTCGTTCTTCTGCTACCCCATCCATTTTCCTCGGTTGGCCAACACTTTGAAAATATCCGAGTAAACCCCCACGATATACAGGGTGTCCCAAAAAAAAGGCACCGGCCGCATTTCTCTACAGGGTGCGTCAAAAAAAAAAAACGAAGTTTGCACTGAAATATCTCCTGAACGGAAACGAATCGGACCATGGTGACCTTGCCAGAATGCTTAAATATGCTGGGCATGAAGAAATAACACAAGTTGTTTTTTAAGATTTTTGACGACCAGTGGTCGTTAAAAAGTTTTGAACATTTTTGAAAAAGTAAAAAACTTTGAAGAGGAAAATCCTGGAACTTTTTATGAGTTAGATGGACGTGAAGGGTATCAAAATGAAGCTCTCCGAGTGCGCTATCGAACCAGTGGTAAAGGAGTTTGATCGGTTTAACTAGCCGTCAATAGGAGTCTTCGGAAAATCCCGACTTTTCGGGAATCAGCGATTTCGAGTTGACCATAAAAAGCCTATCGCCCTCATAACTTTTTGTGTTGATTAAATTTAATGCTGTTTGCCAAAGCTAATCATGCTATGATTTTAACTATATTAAAGTAAAACTTGCAGTTTCGGCCGACTTGGCAGAATGCCAAAAAAATTTTTGATTGGGATTTTGCAAATCTTGATGCCAAAAGTTAGTAGTTATTTATATATTGCTAGCTGCAAAATATCAGAAAGATCGGATGGTAAGGAAATTTTATCTGGAATTATTCCCGCAAAAAGTGACGATTTTCCGAAGGCTCCTATTGACGGCTAGATAAACCGATCAATATTCTTTGCCACTGGTTCGATAGCGCACTCCGAGAGCTTCATTTTGATACCCTTAACATCCCCCTAACTAATAAAAAGTTCCATACTTTATCGCTTCAAAGTTTTTTACTTTTTCAAAAATGTTCAAAACTTTTTAACGACCCACTGGTCGTCAAAAATCTTAAAAAACAACTTGTGTTATTTCTTCATGCCCAGCATATTTAAGCATTCTGGCAAGGTAACCATGGTCCGATTCGTTTCCGTTCAGGAGATATTTCAGTGCAAACTTCGTTCTTTTTTTTTGACGCGCCCTGTATTTCGGGTCCGATCGATTTGAAATTTTGCACAGAGGTAGCGAAGCCAATTTCCCATGAACACAGAAAGTTTCAACCCGATCGGTCGGCGGATTTTCAGGCTATAGCGAAAATACTTTTTATTTTTTATTTAATATGGGGACTTCTGCAATTTGCATCGAAAATCTGCGGAATTTTGTGATTTACGAGCTGATTTTGCATAATTTTTGCCGAAAAATGCCGATTTCGGGGAGGGGGGCCCGCGGGGCCGGTATGACGCTACGTCCCTGGTAGAGGGGGAACCAAATTTTTTCCTGGTTTTCCCGGTTGACTTAGTAATCAAATATAAAGTGTTTTCACATTGTTTTTAGTAAATTTTAACTATATTTAAAGTGGAAAACCTTTCAAAAAAGGTAGAAAAATGTTTGAAAAAGTCGAAAATTTAGTCATTTTGGGTCTTTCCCCCCCCCCCTCCCCGCTAATCCTAAAGGTTCTATAGGATCTTTCGACCTAAAATAAAATTTTTTAATTAAAATATGGGT